AGAATGCAAAAAGGAAGTGAAAAGGCTACCTTAGTAACACTAGGAAACAAAACATTACAATTGTGTACATGAAATAATTAAAACTGTAGTGAAGTTGATAAAAGCAGAAACCCTGCAAATTATAGTAGCAACTGGGAAAGAAAGATGAAACTTACCTCTAAGATTTTTCCAAAAGCCTCATGCTAACATGGTACAACAACTTTTAGCTTAAAGGCGGAATCAAAAACCCAAACCAAACAGCCCTACCCCCTGAAAAAAAAAAAGAGAAAACAACCTCTATGTTTGAGGCTTGTTCAGTGTCTGGTGTCAAGTTAGAAAAGCCCTTTATTCTACCTTTAAACCTCATAGCTGTGTTAATTGAAATGTGTTTTATGTATCTCATGTTGAATATGCTCAGGTACGTGCTAGTGTGCTTTTATGATTAGAATCAAGTGCATTACATGCAGTAGAACTGAAAACATGAATCTTGTCCACTTTCACATTTCCTTACAAACTCAGTGTTCCCTCAGGAAGAGGACAGGACTCTCTGAGATTTCACACATCTGGGTTGTTTTAAGATTTCGCAATGAAACACTAATATTTTTCACTCTTTTGATATAATTTTGTACTGTCATTTCAAGTGTTTTTTTTTTTAATACTCTAGATTCATTCCAGTTTGCAACACAAGGTAAAACTCGTGTGTGTTTTCATATTCAGAATCTGTTCCACACTGGATCCTCTTTGCAGTCCATTTTTTCAGGACTCTGGCTAAAGAGAAAATGGATATTTGAAATCTTGCAGCACCCTACTGAGTATGTCTATTCTTAATTATAGGAACTGATAACTTTATCTTGGGTACATATCAAAGCTACTTTCCTCCTATTTTTTGGAACAACATCTACTGCTGTTTAGCCTGGCTGTGGTAGATCAACTTCATTGAATAATGACAGTGTTGTCATTAATCTGAGCTAAGGACTCTCAGACAAGTAATTTGTGTTTTCTCTGGGTGACTGTGGTTTCTGCATGTGATCTTCTTTCGTCAGAGTTGTGCACACAACCCAGTTTCTCAGACATAGTTTTAGAGCATGAGTGCCACCCATCAGTTCAGTTAAGCCACCTAGACAGCGTTTTGGCAATGAAGTTGGTTGTTTCTGTGAGCACATACATTCCTGGATTATCACCCTCCCCTCAATTGCACCTGTTTTAGTGCAAGTGCCAAGAAAAGAATACCTGAAAACAGAGCAAATAAAGTTACCTGGGCAGGTGTTTCTGTTGCTTAGGAGTGGGGAACTTGAAGAAAGCAAGCCAGTAAGTGTGGGGAAGGGTGGTGATTTAATTGTACAGGATAGATACTACCTGCTGCAATATTTAGTGCAAAGATACCTTTTGTTTTGCAGTGACCTTCTGAGAAGAAATCAATGGGTCAATGTGGATCATGATACACATACTAAAAACCTGTTGATAAAAGTGCTTTTGGAAGGTGTGCACCAAGGCGTACTTCTCAGTCTCTGGGAAAATGGGCCGATAAAAATTTTTTCTGTACTTTGTTGAACAGAGCCTCTATTAAGATAGTAGAAAGCTATTCACCTGTTCTATGCTATCTGGTGGCTGTTTGTGTGTGTGGAGGGAGCCCTTGAAGTGCTGCTTTGTGCATGGGTACTAGGGGTTCCTGAGTCTGAGACCTGGTCAGTACTGAGAAGTTCTCTCAGTGTACCTGTGTCACACAGTTGATTACTGTATGCTCCCAAGTTGATGCCAGCTGTGCTAGCAAACCCTGGTGTATCTGCAGTGATTGTGACAGAAGTGTGTATTCATTGGTTCAGTTGGTCGCTTCAGAGACGACTTGGCTATATTAGCAAGAAAATTCCTTTCACTGGTGTATGCTGCATCCTCAGTTGAAGGCGATGCTGGCATAGGTGCGTTCTATCAATTTTGTTCATGACAAGAGGACTACAGAAGGCTATATGAACCTATGCTATCTATGTACCAAATACAAAACAGAGTTACGTTGAAACTTACAGGGCTCCACTCTTGCCATTGGCTAGTGATCAACATACATCAGCATGATGTGGTGTCTTTTTTATCTTTGTTCGGTCCGGTTTGATTCATTGGACCTGTCAGACCTCACTCTCCTTGCAGCTGTAGCTAGAACAAAATAGAACAGAGCTGTAACATACGTGTCTGCTTGAGTAACAGTTGTCAGCTTTATGTTCAACAAGGCTGATTTTATTTCCCCCTGTGGCCCTTGTATGAATCAGAAAGGACAAATACCAACACCAACAGCACAAGAAACCCATTTATAAGACCTTATGGTCAATGGCTAATTAATTTAAATTAAAAAAAACTAATAATAAATGCTGGTACAGATGGCTAGGCACTTGTGAATTAATATCACAACAGCCATTACACTACAAAAGGAGGGACTGGCATCTGTTTTGTCCAATGCTATAGCTTCTTTCCTATTTTGCTTAAACTGAATGAGATACAGGTAACTGCATTTCATGTTGGAATAATAATGGATGAAGTTTGTAAATGAAAATAATTTATCTTGTGTACTTCAAGAGCTTAAAAACAAAACATGTAAATGCATTGCAAATTATGCTGTAGTACTTCTATGTGATGTTAAATGTAATCTTTTAAGGTTCAAAATGAAGCACCCCAAGTTTATTTTCTTGTCTTAAGAGAAAAATATTGAGGTCTTCATAAGGTGGAAAATTATTTTAAAATATTCATAGCCCTTGAAAAGGTCAGAGACAGGGAAAATGATGCCAACATTTTAATCTGATACATATTAAGAAAGACTGGCCTCCATTCAAGAAAGTATTCTAGTCTACAAAAATATTAAGTATGTTCAATTATGCACATGGAAGCTTTGGAGCTGGATTTTCATTAAAAGAATAGTTAAATTTTGCTCTTAATCTTAAAACTGAAGCAGTTGCCCCAGGCAACTTAATTCCTCTCTGTTCAATGTATTTGGTTTTGAGGTGTTAAAATTCTTTCTTACATAGATTTAGATACTCCATTTTAATTCTTTTTATTTTTTACTAAATTAACAGTCAGTGTCCAGATTAATATCTAGGTGTAAAATCTGTGTCTCTGTTCTCATCCCCAAAGTCATTCTTCCAACCATGTTGTTGGATTCTCTCTTCCTTTTGTTTTTCATGTTAAAGTGAGGGCCTCATCTAACCTACCTGAGCAGTTGCTTATATATCGAAGGATATCATGCAGCACTATATACATATTTGTGTATATACCTGTGTGTTGGTGAGAATATACATTACCTTTGTTAAGATTTTTTTTTAAAAGGTTTATGATATCTACCATATGACTCTGTAGAAAGTAAACACAAAATGGCATCATTGTGCGCAATATATAATGGCACTAGAAAGTAGTCAAATGGAGTCTCGTGTTCAGCTAGCCCTTTTTTTTTTTTTTTTTTTTTATTTCCCCCTAGATGTCTACCTATGGACTGGCAGAAATCCGACTGATCCAAAACAATACATGCAATTTTATGATGATTTGTTGGCTGCCATGTTATAACTAAAATAAAGTTTTTCTAATAATTTGGTGGGAACTAGAAGCTTTTAATACTTAACTTCTACTATTTATACACCTGTTAATGTCTCTGGAAGAATACTAAGAAAAAAGAGGTTGTTGCAGTTCAGTGGTCTAATTATTAATATTAGCAGCACAATTTAAAAATATGTCTATAAATATAGCATTTTCTCAGTTTTTTTTCCTTTTGCCTCTGCTTGCCTCACATGCCTTTGTACTTGCTTTTAACTGCATAATCGGATGTAACCAAATCCCATTTCCAAACAAAATACTACTTCAATTTAGAGAGCAACAATATGTATGATGTGGGCTGAATTCCCAACTGAAATTAATCAGCTTTCTAGAAAGAGTTCAATGTTGGATATTGCAGTTTTATGAGAGACAGTACTGGTCTGATGTTAGCAACCTGCTAAAGTGTAACCTCTTTCTCCCTGTTCAAACTAGATTGTGTACGGTATTAGTCAGAATACAATGCCCCTGCTGGGTACTTTGTAAGAATATGTACGATGTTACTCTTTAGGCAAAAACAGTGTTATGTTTGGGTTCCTTTAGGGTTGCTAAATTTCTGTCATTCCATTTGAGTTCCCTTGAAAACAATCCCCAAAAGTGAAGGATTATGTGGTTTCAAAAGTGAATCTGGATTCACCCGTTCCTGCAGTACAAAAATAATGAGGATGAGTGATGTTTGAGAAAACATAGTGCTCATGGAATTGTTATGTAGCACTGCAGTGTGTTTGGGTGTTCCTGCTGGTGAGAACACCCCTGTTCTTTTAAGCAGTCATACCTGTAAGTACCAGGAGATAATGCATTTCAGCATGTAGGTGGGAGGTCCCAGTTCTTAAAGCAACAACTGGAATTTTGTGACAAGGTGAAGCCCATCTGCCTCTGTTGGTCTCCACAGTCAACTCCATCTCTCAAACTTGAGTCCCAGCGCTGCCTGCTCACCGCTCTCCTCTCACACCTGCCTTTAGGTTACGCCGCCGCAGAAACCCGAGCGAAAAGCCAACCCGCTGACGATGGCCGATCATCAGAATGGTGCCGGACCACAAAGCCGTGACTGGGTGATGGAACAGCCGTTTGCTCTGGAAATGAAAGCCAGCCTACGGGTGAGGAACACGCTCTTGTGCCTCTTCGCAGAGCTCGCCGCTCGTGCGTCACCCCACGGCAGCACTTCAGGAGCCCACCAGCGCCGCAGCGTGTCGCCGGGGCCAGGCCTCAGCAGCTGGGGCTGTTGGAAACCCAAAGGCCTCGTTTTTCCTGTCACGACGTTGACAGGACGCGATCCAACGAACCGGCGCGCGGCGGCCGGGCGCCCCTCGACGGCGCGAAGCCCCCGCGCGCGCTCGCGAGCCTCTGCCCCGTTCCTGCGCGCGCCCCCTGCAGCCGCCCCGCCCCGCCCCGTCCCGTCCCGTCCCGTCCCGTCCCGCCGCTGGCTCCTCCCCTCTTCCTCAGGAGCCGGGAGAGCCCCGCAACCAGCCCCTCTTCCTGCCCCCTCCCCCGGTCTCTCTCTCTCTCTTTCTCCCGGTGGGATGGAAGTCCCCGGTAATCCTCCTCCCCGGTAGCAAGCGGCGGCCCGAGTCGGTACAAAATGCTGGGCATGTACGTGCCGGATAGGTTTGCCCTGAAGTCGTCAAAAGTGCAGGACGGGATGGGGCTCTACACGGCCCGCAGAGTCAAAAAGGTGGGTGATGGCCGGGCGAGCGGGGTAACGGCCTGTCCCGGCCCGGCGGGGAGCGGCTGCCACGTATCACAGGAGAGCGGGGCGGCTCCTCCGCCCCTCAGCCGCCGCCGCCGCCGCCGGCCGGGCTGCCGCGCTCCGACTTCACCTCAGCCCCGCTTTGTCGGCGCTGCCGCCACTTCCGTCCGCCCGGGCTCCCTCTCCTCAGGGGAGGCACCGCCCGCCTCCCCCCCTCACCCTCCCCCGCCCGATAAAAGGGAGCCTCCCGCTGCCCGGGGCGCTGCCGCTTGGGGCGGGGAAGGGACGCGGGAGCCCGGCCGGGCCGCCGACTACCCTGACGGGGTCGCCTGGAGGGTTTTCTCTGTGGGGTTTTTTTTGTTTCCCCCGTTTCTTTTAAGTTGGTTGGTGTTTCTGGCGCTGTTCTGAGGGCAGAGCTCCTCCGGACGGGACTGCCTCCGTGGTTATCGCCTGGCTTCAGGGCGCGGTGCGCCTCTGAGGTAGAGGTACCCGCCCGTCCGTCGCAGGCTCCCGTCGCCTCCCTGCTCTTAGAGCTCGGTGGGATGGGCGATTAAATTCATCGTTTCGGGATGATAAAGCCGGGCCTGTGAAAGATGTGATTCAGCTGAACTGCAGGTCTCTCGTAGCTCAACCAGGTCGTGGCCCTTGACACCTCGTAATGGAATTGAAAGGCTCCCGGTTATCTGAAATCCCAATTATAACTATCCGGGTGGCTTGTTAGAACAGATGAAGGCATACCTAAAGTCATGAACCCTGCATTAGTACACACTTCATTGTATTTTGTATGTTTTGCTTTCCATCTTTGTTCTGGTTTTGGCTCTCAGTGGGTTGGGAGGGCTGCCTAATATTTCAGTGGTTTCATAAAGAAGGCTTAGACGCCATAGGGTAAAGGTCTCTCATTTTTAAGGTGTCCCTGAGTGTTAATGGGGGGTAGAAGGGGAACAATTTTATATTACTTGGCTTAAATTTTTTCCACTGAGGTTCTGAACTTCCGTTTGAAAACCCTGGGAGTTCACACAGCAAGGAAGGTTGTACACTACTAGCATGTATTAATTCCTGGATTCTGAAATAGAGCGAGCTCTAGAGTGAAGCTCATGGAAATCATCATCCGCATGTCAGTATCAATTCTGAATGTCAGTTCAGAGTTTAGGGTCTGAGCCCCCTTCCTTTACACTGTTGTCAACTGAACCATTAGAGATGCGTGCTAGGAAAAATAGAGCATTTTCTTGCCTGAATTACTCCACGTTGCTTTTGAACTCTCTTTATACAGGCAAAGTATGTGCTGTCAGAGCTCGGCCAATGTGAGCGCATCATACGGGACATACTTGCAAAACTGAAATGTTGCAAGTGTGACATGTATTGCATGAGGAATGCAGAAGGTAGAGGCAGAGGCAGTTGTAGTAAGATTTGTTTGTATTGGGAGTATCTGGTGACAGTGTTTGTTACAGGCTTGTCCTTTGTTTGGCAGTGAATTTTCTGTGCTGGTAGCACAGACAGTTGTGGTATGCAAAGCCTTGATCAGAAGTATGTGTCTGACAGGCAGGCTTTGGTCTTTGATAGGCTGAGGAACCAGCTCTTGAGTTGCTCTGTGGGCAGTGGTTGAAACAGGTATTCCTTAAAAATGGCTGGAGACCTAAGCACTGTGTGTTGCCACGGCTGTTCAGAGAAGGGTGGATGTGTACATAACACAGATGATGCGCTGGATATAGCTAGACTGTGTGTTACTCTTTTCCATGGAAAGAAAAATCACACCTGAAGTGCTCTCAACATACTCTCCTGTCCAGTAATGAGGCAGCAGTATTACACTTCGTGGCTATGATACAGAGTAGCTAATAGGTGTTAAATTAATTCCTTGGAGCTTTGGGATTGGGAGGAGGTATTGAATGTGACACTTAATTGTGAAGTAAGATCTTAGGTTGCTAAGTAGGAAATACTGCACCATTTTCTCTCTATTGCTGTCACACAACTGCAGTTGTCTTAACTGAAAGTAAAACACGTTTCAGATGATCTTATAATCAGAAATTGCAGTACCAACTCTCCAAGGGCTAAGTAATCATGAAGTAGGCCTCTGAAAATTCTATTAGCAAAGTTTTGGTAATGATACATTTTGAACTGCTGTTGTCTGCCATCTGCTATTGCAGCTTCAGGCATTATGTGGTGCTTTTGAGCTTTCACCTGTGATCATAAAAGGTGGAAACTTTTTATTTTGCTTTGTTACCTTACCAAAAGCTGTGATTCTCTTGTAATTTCTCTTCTGCAACAGCAGGCCTTTGGTTACAGCACCACTGTCATAAGACCCTTGGTATAATCATCTGAGAGCTGCTACATTTCTCAGTGTTTAGCTGTGACTGGAACAAGATTAGTCACTGCTGCTTTCTTGAAAGTAGCTGTTGAAAATAGCTTTTTTTGACAATTGAATGATGTGCCTTTCATATCTTGAATCATTTCTGGGGTTGACTTTAGACTGTATTGTATGCCTCACTTTTATTGATCAGAGAGGAAGTTGAAGTCTTAGCATGTTTTTGATCAATATGTATTGGCATATCACACTATGTTTATTAACTAGGACTAATATATATATGAAGAAAATGCTCTGAAAGACTAAATGAATAATTACTTTTACCTCAAGGACCTTTGTGTTCCAAGACATGAGGTTTTGCTGTCTCTAATTTCTGCTTTCTCTCCAAATTTGAGAAGCTATAAAAAGTGTTTAGAAGTCTTAATCACCTATTGTTCATGTTACATTTACTTTACATTTAGAGGTGTACATCTTGCCTTTTGCTTATGTTGTTGTTTTGAGCTTCTAGAAGGTCTTAAACATATTGTAGTAGAGGTTTATTTGTTTGGAGTAGCTGAGATAGGAATGATGTATGGTGTTTCTTGGTTTGAGTCAGTATGCAGCATTAAGCTGTTGCTGTGCTTCATCCCAGAGGTGATGTGTGCTCCAGTGATGGGTAAAATGACCACTGTAGGTGCTTTATATAAGGTATCTAGGGATCCTTTGGATTGCAAGGATGAAAGTATTACTGTGGTGAGGGTTGTGGAAGCCTCCAAAATACTTAAGGAAGAAATTAATCGCTATGCCATCTTAAGTGTTACTCTGCTGCTGAAGTGAGTGTGGGAGACTGGCTTTTTAGGTTCCTTTTTCCTTATGTCTTCAAATAATTTCTGTATTAAATGTATGGAGGTCTTTTTCCTTTTCCTTTCTATAGAACTAATACAGGTTATAGTCCAATAAGCTTTTTTTCATCTTGGTATTTGCTATGAGTAATGAGAGATTCTGCAGATACAGCTATGCCCTCTCTTAGAGCTCAGCAATTGTAGTGAGCTGCTTTCCTTGCTACTTGTTGCTTTCTAAGTGAATGGGGAAAGCCAGTTCAGCCTGGCAGGAAGTATCTGCTCCAGAAAAGGCCTACTTTATCTTTATCTTTACTGAGCTAAATAGGACCGTACATTTCCAGAGCAGATTTCCTCTGCCACTGTCTTGACTCTTCCTCCTCCTTCATCTAAACAAACAACACAATCTAGAGCAAATTGCCTCCCATGTAATACATACGTGGCCCCTATTAGACAGCGGTATGTTTGCTGGGGTGGCACTCAGTGTAAGCTGAGAACGTTGATGGCTGTACACATATAACTGTATTGACCTTCCTGTATTTTCACCTTCATTGCTGATGAGGTAAAAGAAGGAGGAAGATTCAGTTTGAGTATTAAATTCCATGATTTGTAAAGCTGGCAAGGGAGGAGTTCTAACCTTATTTGATTAGCAAAACTGTGAAAGATGGTATGGAGATCAGTGAGAAGTGAAGATGAAGCCCCATAGTGCCAGTTTTTGCTGTCATTGCCCATGTTTGTGTCTTGATTACTGCTGTGGGCTCCAGTTTTCTGCTGTTCCTGTCTTTTTACTTTCTGCTTTGCTGTTCTTAGTAGTGAAATCTTCACTGCACACATTTTAAAACACTGCTCCTAAATTCTGTTGCCTTGTTATGCAATGCCAATTTTATTTTCCTTTGTTGATTACCTCTTCAGGTTTAATTTTAAATACCAGGATTTTTTTATTTGACTGGTTGTTTCAAAGAGGAATGATCCTGGAAGTTTTACATTCCGCTTCTTCCTCTGCACTCTACCTGTAGACAGTCTGTAAAAACTAAGCAAGAGGGAAAACATGTAGCAGGCTGTTTCTGAGATGATGGAATGTGCCTGGGGGAAGGGATATGTGGACAAGATTGATACTTTTATTAGCCAAAATACTGTTATTTTTAAAGAAACACCAGAGTTGCTTTTCATTATATAGTTATAATCTCTAATGCTTAAAAGTATATGGAGCTTTTTGATCTGAATACTGCCTAAAGGAACGTAGCAGTCTGCATTCTGGTTTGTAGGGCTTGTCACTGCAAATAAGGACAAAGGGGGGGGACAGACCCCACCTGTGTAAGAAGAAAGTCCTATTTAGATAATTTACCCTGCTGCTAGTGTGATGTTTGTGAAGGAAAAAAAAACACCAATACCCAAAACTTTTAGAATATATCAATGGATGCTTTCACAGCACGTGTTATGACTAGCAGGTGGCATAACATTTTAATATTGTTTATGAAGGCTTGAATTAATTCATAGACACGTGCATACTCCCTATGTTTTTAAACGAATCTCTCTGTATGATCAAAACCTCAGTTATTCAGTGTTTTGATTTGTGGCACTTCAAAAAGTAGTTTTGCAAATAATCTTGCAAATAAATCTAATGTAAACTTTGTGCTTGCCAGATACTTGACGTTTTAGTTGGATGTCTATTGCAAGGTGTTTCCTGAAAATCTTACAAGAAATGTAAGAAATTTGACTTGTAAATTTCAGCCTTATTTAAAATAAAGAAAAATGGTGTTTCCCAAAGGGGAAATAAGCATGTAGAGGAAAGGCATGGTTTTAAGAGATTTTCCAAGCTATGAAAAGAATGGGAATGAGCCTGAAGTTGAACCCTCAGGGATGTGCACCTTCTTGGCATATAGTAAGATGACAAAGGAAAACTGTCCCTTTCCATTTGAAGCTAAAAATAATACCTCTGCTGGACTTCAGTAATTCACTTGCCTTTTTTTTTTCACTGATTCTTTTTATTTTATAATTATTCCTTAGGGTGAAAAATTTGGCCCCTTTGCAGGGGAGAAGAGAATGCCCCAGGAACTGGATGAGAACACAGACTGCAGGCTCATGTGGGAAGTGAGTAGTCTAGAGTGACATCATCACATCTAGCAAAAAGTGGTCTCAGAATTAAGCTTTTACTGTAACAAATGCCCCCCCCCCCCCCCCCTTAAAGGTACTTAAAGATACTGTAGTGAGATTTTGTACTTACTGATGCTTTTAAAATATGCTTTTTGGGTGGAGGGGCATTGACTTCTTTAAAATGATAAAGAAATAGCAAATGATAGTTTCTAATCAATGAAGTGTGAAAAATATCAAGTCAAGCAAAACATAAAAATATAACAAAAACATTGTGAAAAATTATTGAGAAATGTGAAAATAATAAAAAAAAGATGGAAGTAATTTAAATATGGGAAGGTCATTGTAAGTTCCTGAGATACTGATTTATGCTGATGAACAGGTGTCAGCTCATAGTTTCCTCCAACTATAATATAAAACATTTCCTGCTGTGACACTTGTGCTGGTGTTTGGCAATTGTATGATAAGTGAAGTTTTTAAATTTTAGCAACTTTGTAATGCAATGTGTAGTTGTGAGATCTTTAGCAAAATGAAAACTTGGTGCTGTGGGCAGATGAAGGCATAATGAGTTTCAGGGCTCTTCTAAACTTTTTAGTATTATTAGGGAGCAACAGTAGTTTATACACTAGATCTCATAATTAGGTCCTTAACCCATCCTAGTTCCTGTCATAGCTGTGTGTGTTTGTAGCAAGAATCTCTGAGTTTACCAGTTGAGGATATGACACTAACTGAAAAATACTTGCAATAACAACATTTCCAACTTGTTATAAACACCTTCCTTTTGGTGCTTCTGTTCTGTCTTTGTAATCTTTTCTGCTGTAGTTGTTTGAGCAGAATTCCTTTCCTTTATTTTTTCCTTTTTTTTTTTCCCCAGCCAAGCAGTTTCTATTGAATGCATATTTAGTCCTGTTTTACACTGAGAAGGGGAGTAATTTCCTACTTTTTCACCTTTCTGTGGTTAGAGGTGGAAGGATGACTGTTATTTTTTTGTTGTGTGGCACTGTACAAAAAAAAGCTTATGTTTGACATCTGGCTTAAAGCACTTTCTGTGTATTTATTACAAAATAAATGTTTATTTGAAAAAAAAAACCCCTCTAGCATTAACATTGCTGAGCAGCTTATAAAGAGAGCATAGTATTGATACAGTCTTAGCAGAGCTATAAATAGATTCTACAAACTGGAACAATGAGCGAGGGAATGCTAAAAGCCCATCTCATTAAACCCAAACTCAATATAAATACAGTGAGTGGCAAAATATTCTTAGATGAGTGCTAACTCAAGTCTGTGAATCCCTGTGCCTTTGTTTTCCCCCTTCCTCCTCCCCCCCCTTTTTTTTTTAGTGTAGGGGTGTGCCCAAAATATCCTTTCTCAGAGAGAAGGTGTGGACAATTCATTCCCCTCTCTCCTTTAGTTATGTACTCAGAGTAACTGGTTTCATATTCTTTGTTCTCAGCTGATAAAACCCCAATACAATGTGCTTTTATTACAAATGTTTGCTGAATACAGTACATGTTAATGCGCCCTGGCTCACTTGCCTTTTCATGATGTTTCTGCAGGTTATTTTAAATCAGTAAAATACTTGAGCTAGAACAAAGTTTTCAGAAGGGATGGTGAGTGGATTATAGCAGCAAGAAGGTATTTAAGTTTGTTGGAAAGCCATATGATTTTCCAGATTTCTCATTGGTGATGATTAAATGAGATTTATCTGTTTCTGTAAGACAGAAAATAAAACCCAAATACATGTATTTACTGATGACACTAATATGACCCCATCGACAGCAAACCAGAAAATGAGTTTTTTATGAGCTGTTCTAAAACCATTTCATAATATCTTATTGTAACCTAGTTTTGAGAGCCTTGAAAAGATTCCTGCATACCAAATTTTATGACTTCCTGAAGGTTTGAACCCAAGTTGTTCATGTTTACTGAAGTTGATCTGAACGTGAGCTTTATAATATAATTTAAATCATGCTGAGAGTAGTCTTAAGTTGAAAATCGAGACCAGGAATGCAGAAAGTAAAAATTTGAACAGTCCAAGTAGATGGTTATTCCAGATACTGTGGGAGGCAGTCACAGCAACTAGCCAAGTTTGTGCATAGTCAGCTGTACCAAAGATATTAAAAATAATTAATCTGAAGACTGTTGGATGAAGGCGCACTAAAGCCTGACCTCACAGTCTGATGGCAGTCAAAAAAATGCGTTTTCAGAGAGGACACCTTTAGAAAGCAGGCTAAGTATAGAGGCTTTTTGTAAGTCAAGTAAAAATGAACATTAGTGGAACATTTCTTTTCTTGGTATGTGATGCCTGAGATCTGAGCTTCAATTTTGTGGAATAGTTTTCTGTGAGGAAGTTTACCACATGCATTTCTAGTTGCGTAGAGTCGTGGTCTGTGATGTGGTCTGTTTTGATCAAGCTATTTCTTTTTCTCTGACACCAGCATTGTGAGCTGGCATCTTTAAGATGTCATGTTGAGACAGAATTGTACACGTTATGTTTTCTTTTGGTCTTTGGGAAAACATGGAACCCCAAAAATTTATTGGGTCCAGTGATTTTGTTAAATAAAGTTCTGAGGATGTTAGAGTTTGTGTTTAAATTAAATACAGCAGAATGCTGTTAGTCTGCCTGTAACTTGCATAGTTTTGAAGAAATCAAAGGTTTATGCTTGCTTGTTCAACAGATTCCAGAGGATGTGGTGTGGGGTGGAAGCATCGTTGATCTTGCTGTTATCTTTGTAAAGAGCTATATGCTGAAATGTTTTATTTACAAGTGATGTGAAAGTGAAAAAAAGCAAACCCGTGGTAACCATATAGTTAGAAGTAATAATAAAAAGCCAAGAAAGTGTCTAAATGGCTTTATGCTTTTTCTTTCTGTCAAAAAACCCCACCTCCTTGTTATCCCCCAGTGCCCATGCCATTATCTCTCACTGAATTGCATGTTGTGCTAGTTTAAGTATGCAGCTAGTTGCTGGTGATGAATAGAGAGTTTTGTTCTTATTCTTAGCATCCCTCTAACACCTTGATAAAATACTGCTTCATTGGTCTGTATTAGTATACTTGGTTGGCATAGCAATTTCAAATTATGTGTATTTGCTGGAAGAGCAAGTGCTTTAAGGCAAGAACAAGATAATCTTTAGGTATTAAAGTTCACAAAAGTTTTCGCCTTTGGAGGCTCAGATGTCCCTCTACAGAGGGAAGATATCTGTTCAGTTCATTTTTGTTGTTGTTCCTAACCAAGAAAGTGGCATTCATTTCGCTACTATTGGATTGTGGCAAGCATATACTTTTGGTGATGACTTTGGCAAATGTTAAAACAGGCAGGGCTGGAAAGACTTAGTCTTTCTTCAAATACTCTGACATACCATGAAAAAATATTGGTCAGGATTGGATGGCACACAATACGCTGTGTAATGATGAATGTTACATATTTCAGGTTTGGTTTCTGACTATCTGCCAAGATTATGTTTTCTTCATTGTTACATTAAAACCGAAAAGAAAAGAAACATGCTGGAAATCAGTCTTTCAATGGAAGCTAATGTTCATATTTAATTATTTGAGAAAATGAAATGAACTTATGTTTCTACTACTTAACTCTCATCACTTTTGCAGTGACAGTTGTTTTCAGTTAAATAAGCCTGCCTGAAAACTAGTGAAGGCAACAGAAAATCTGCTATTGGCTCCAACCAGCTTTAGATCAGAACTTTAGACAGGTATGAGAAGTCAAGCACTTTAAGCTAATGGTGGTGTGGGTTTTTTTGTTGTTGTTTTTTTGGTGCTTTTTTTTTTTGATGTCTTGTCTGTAAAATGTGGTTCTGGCATAGGAAGGCTTACACATACAAGGCATTAAGTTGAATTATGTTGTGAGTTTCATGATAAAATAAATCTTAATTTGAAGAATTCTGTGTTTGCTCTCAAGATGAATGTACTATTAGAAATCTAGTTCTTAGCAATATAGTCTTTATTTTTTCTGTATGAAGACTACCTTCCAAATCATGACTCCTCAGACAGTATTTACATTTAAAATTGTTTTAATGTTTTTGTGTGAATCATTGTTTAATTTTCAGAAATGTTTTTTTCTCATTTCTTGGACAAATGCATCTGGATGCATTTTTATGCAAGTTGCATTTAAGATAACTTTTGCCACACATAACAGTCAAACATTGATGCCCTTTCTTAGTTGCAAGTTTGCGTCCTAAATTTTCAATTTTGTTAAATTAATCCCCACTGGGATAGATAGGTGTCCCAAGTAGTTATTAATATTCTTACCAGTTTGTTTATTTAGCTAAATTTCATTAATCAACTCTTTCAAACTTGATTTAGTCATCTTTATTCATGTTAAGTGTATGAATTTGTATTAATTTTAGTGACTTTTGGAACAGGCACGTTAATGATCTTCTGGTTTTGGTGATAGAAGAATTTACTCCCAAAAGTGACTGAGAATGTTAGCATCACATCTTCAGTTATGTGATTTATTTAAGATGTTAGAAAGCACGTGGTGATATGTGCAGGTGCTAGTATTCTAATCTGAACTTGTTACGGAAGATCACACACAATTTGCTTAAGGAGATTTGGGTATCCATCCAGTGAATGTGAAGTTCAACCTTTCTTGTGAAAGCTCCACAGAATGTTAGCAGAAGTCTAGGAACTTCTATTAGCTTTCTGAACCATGCTGTCTCTGATGAGATCAAATGACATCATGCACCAGAAGGAGCTTCGTTAACATGAAGAACTGTTGCTGTATGTTTTGGCTGAAGAAAAAGGTCACATATTGTGTAGGTCCCAATACTTCTTAGTGAGTAAGCAAATCAACAGTTGCTGCCTCAGGTTCCTTTTGCAAGTGTACTTTCTACAGCAATGTTAAAATGTGAGTTTTTACTTTGCAGAGAGCTCTGCGATGGAGGTCTGAAACCGAGGATGCAGAAGTATTGCATCTAGCTGTTTTATAATATTAACAATAAAAATCATGTTTTCAGCTAATCAAAAAAAATGCAATGCAGAAAACA